CAGTATGGACTGAGGCTCAATGTCAAGAAGACAAAGATTCTCACCACTGGACCAATCGGTAGCATCAGGATGGATGGCGAAGACATTGAGATTGCTTACAGCTTCAGTTTGCTCGCTCGGCTCCACAGTCAACACTCTTGGCAACAGAAGCCAGGAAATAAAAAAATGTATTGTGATGGGAAAGTCTGCTGTTAGGGACCGCTCTAAAGTACTCAAGAGCAACAGTGTCTCTCTGGAGACTAAGGTGCGCCTGCTACAGGCCATGGTCTTTGCAATCACTTGTTATGCATCAGAGAGTTGGACAATGACTAGGGAGGACCGAAGGAGAATTGATGCCTTTGAGCTGTAGTGCTGGAGAAGAGTATTGAATGTACCATGGACTGCCAAGAAAACAAACAGCTTCATCCTCTGACGAAAGCTAAGGCTCTTCTTTGGAACTACAGTGGTGTAGTCTGTAGTGAGTTCAACTCCTAAACCAAAGGTTACATGTCTCTAGCAGTTTGGATCCACCAGTGACTCCAAGGAGCAAAAGACGGATAGTCTCTTCCTGTTATAATTTACACCCATAGAATCCATATCAGTCACTATGAATCAAAACCAACCATACAGCAGTGAGCTTGAGTTTCTTGAAGGCTCTTCTTCCAGGAACAAGTGTAAGAGTCACCACTTATATGCCACTAACAGCATTTTCACGTCTATTTGTTAAGCACTTGTAGTATAGGGCACAGTGTGCTGAATAGATGACCAAAATGTCAAGTGTTTGAATCCTTCAGTTAAAGAATCCTTCTTTAGAAAAAGCCTTCTTTAGAGAAAAAGAAACTTAGTAATTATTTTTCATTAAGATTTACAGAAATCTGATGGAAGGTCTTTACAAGTCAGAACCAACTCCATGGGAAGGGGTCTGATTTTAGACAGTTTGCAGGTATGTAGCATTTCTATAAGTGAAATATCTAGTAATTGCAGCAGTTTTATATTATACTACAGGGGTCACTATGAGACATAATTCTTTAAATTATACCTAACCACAAGAGGAAAGTTTTACACAGATTTATTTCAGATTCTATTGATGTGCCACGTGCCTAGTTAAGAATGTTGTTGTTGTTGTTGTTATGTGCTGTCAAGTCGTTTACGACTCATAGCAACCCTATGGACAACAGCCCTAAACCCTGCTCTATCCTGTGCCAATCGCACTGCCTCTGACACACCCATCCCGATTACCCCAGTCACTGAATCAATCCACCTCATGGAGGGTCTTCCCCTCTTGCGCCGTCCCTCCACCCTCCCAGGCATGATGTCCCTCTCCAAGGACCTGTCCCTCCTTGCAACATGCCCAAAGTATGTCAGATGAAGCACCAGAATCCTTGCCTCCAAGGAGTTGCTTGGTTTAATCCTCTCCAGGATGAATCTATTTGTTTTCTTGGCAGTGCATGGTACATTCAATACTCTTCTCCAGCAGAAGTAGGAACTTTATATTGTGATACTTGCCTCAGACCTTTTCCCCACGCACTAGTCCTTTACATACCCTTGTAGAGAGCTCTCCTGGCTTAGTCGGTAAGGATCTGTGCTGCTAATTTAAAGGAGGACAGTTAGAATCCACTAACTGCGAGGCAGAAAGATGGACGATCTCCTCCCATGTGCTTTACAGCCTCTGAAAACCTGTTGGAGCGTCAGCTATCAGACAGTTTTGATTTGACAGTAAGGAGTTTGAGTGTTGTGCTTTATCTTGGGAATATTACCTTAATTGGGAATTTATATTCTCAACTCTCTCCTATATGGGATCAATAACAGGTCATCTTTGTATACATTTCTACACAAACCTCTAATTTTTTTACGCATATTCTTCTCAGAATCTCAAAATTAGTGTCTGGAGCTTGACATTACAGAAAGTAAAAAACACGGGAGAGGGTACAGAGAACTAGAGCGCATGTGGGAGCACTGGCGGCAGCGGGCTGGTCCTGGGTACCAAGACCCAGGACTCGCACGTGGTGGAGCAGGCTTTGAGGGGTGCATGAGGGACAACGAGTGGAGTGAGAGACCCTCCTGGTGGCTAAGCGCTGGCTCTCCTGGGAGGTGGACAGCTGAGTGCCAGCTTTTCCGGCAGTGAGCGCAGACGCCTTGAGCTTCCCCAGCACAACTTCTAGGTGCACTCAGCTGGCCAGCTGCGCACAGGACCACACTGAAACCAAGGGAGCACCTGTTGGACTCCAGGCCCGAAGCCCGGTCTTACATGGAATCTGTGTCAGGATGGGGCTGACTGAGTTTCTTTGCCGGCACATGGCCTGGACTTGCAGGTCATTCAGCTTGCCACCCAAAGCAACTATTACTGCCATGCTCAGAGGGATCCTAGTAGCCATTGTGAGCCCAAGAAGCAGCGTTCCAGGAGCCAGCTCTATATAGCCTCTGCGTTCTGCTTGCTGTTAATGTTTGGAGAAGTTGTTGGTGGGCACGTGTACATAATCTCGCGATCATGACCGATTTTTCCTTACCTATTTTGCCAGCATACTTATCAGCCTCTTCTACCTTTGGATGTCCTCCCGGCCAGCCACCAAGACCGTGAATTTCAGCTGACAACGAACCAGGACCCCCAAAGGCCTGGGCTTCACTGCTTGCAAGATCTGCTGCTTTCAGTGGGAGAGAGTGGAAGCCCTTTACAGCCTGAATATCTGGGCACTGACCACGACCCAGCCCATGCTGTCTGTCCACAGAATGCAGATGCCCACCCTGTGGAGAAGGGAGCCAGCCCCCAGTACCAGGGGAAGTTCCACTTCCACATGGTAGCTATCCAGATTGAAGACTACTATGAGGACATGAAGGACTGTCAGAAGTGTCAAGACCCTTTGGACTGACTGCCTGGTTGGGCACTAATTGGGGCATGGATAGCATCTGAAGGTGGCAGGGCTAACCTAGCATGCTGTGACCCTGGCTGCTTTATAAGTCAGGTCCTCTCCTGACCTCGACTCCAAGTTCAGTGAGAAGGAAGCCTTGTACCACCGCAGGAGTAGAGTTTTTCCCTTTCCTCCTCCAACTGGCCATAGGCTGGGAGGTGGGCATTTGGTAGATGTGACCTACTCCTCCAGCTCTTACACCTGTTCCTGGTGGAGGTTTGAACTAATGTTATCTTGTCCCAGGAACTGGCAAAACAAGAGACATAGGAAAGAGAATGGAACAGGAGGGTGTCAGCATACTTTGGTGGCTATTTCCCATCTCCGTTATACCATGCCTGGCTTCTGTTTTATGAGTCTGTATAGAATCCCAGGAACAGAGCCCCTTCATTCTCTTCATAACAATATCATTGAAGGGGATCATGTGGCTTGGAGTATTGTGAGGATCCCACCCTCTAATTGAGAAGGCAAAGGCACCTGAGACTTTTCTGTGCCTTAGTTACTTTAGCTGTAAACCAAACAAATCCCTTTCCTGGGGAGGCTGGGTCTCTTGCTAAGGCTCCATCTGAGTTCTCCTTTCTAAATTCCCCCTGGCCAGGAAGCTGGACCATCACCAAGATGCCCATACTTCAAGTGGATGGGAGGGGACAGGTATTTCAATCTGGGTCTCCCCTAGCAGCCTTGCTACCCAGAGCTATTTTTCATCCCCTGAGGGTGTCCCAAGGATCAGGAATCTGAAATAGGATATTGTTGTTGTTATGTGACATTGAGTCACCTTGACTCATAGCAAACCCTATATACAACAGCCCTAAATCCTGCTCTATCCTGTGCTAATCTTATTGTCTCTGATACATCTACTCCCTTTAGTCCAGTCACTGAATCAATCCACCTCATTGAGGGTCTTCCTCTCCTGCACTGTCCCTCCACCCTCCCAAGCATGATGTCCCTCTCCAAGGACTGGTCTCTCCTTGGAACATGTCCAAAGTATGCAAAACGAAGCTTTAAAATCCTTGCTTCCAAGGAGCAGCCTGACTTCACCCTCTCCAGGACGAATTTGTTTATTCTCCTAGAAGTCCGTGGTATATTCAGTACTCTTCTCTAACACCACAGCTCAGAGGCTGATGCCTTCTATTATCCTTAATCCTTGTCCAGCTTTCCAATGCATAGCAAGTAATTGCAAAGACTGTGGTCTGTATCAGGTGCACCTTAGTCTCCAGACTGACATCTTTGCTCTTCAGTACTTTGGAGAGGTCTCTAACAGCAGATTTTCCCAGTGCAATTCGTCTTTTAATATCCTGGCTTCTGGTACCAAGAGTGTTGACTGTAGAGCCAAGCAAACTGAACCTGTTAATAATCTCAATCACATCTTTGTTTGCTTGACTTTGAGTTTCAATCCACATTGAAGGCTGCAGTTCTTGGTCTTCTTCAGCAAGTATGGGAAGCCAAATTTCACACCAAATATTACATGAAAAATCATATGCTTATTCAGGAATTGAAGGAATCACTTAAGTTGGAATTTCTCCAGATCGCAGGAAATGAACTGTTTTCTGCGGACAAGAGACAGCTAGTGTCCTCCTGCAGAGGGAGTGTTAATATGGGGTGAAATACTTCCTTCCTGAGCTAAAGCATTAGATTGACAATAGAGAAAAATTTGGCTTCATTTACAAGAGAATTCTCTTTATGATTTGCTTTCCATGATTTCAATAAATACACAGAGAGGTGTGGCTTGTAGCACTTCACAGTTGATTCAAACTGCTGGCCCCCTGACTTTTACACTCTCTGTTTACTTATAAAGTCTTGATGTTTTGTCTTGTTATTAATTATTAATACACTTTAGCTCAGTCTGCAACAAGCAAGTGCTTTAGGTCCTCCTCAATTTGAGCAAGCAGAGTTGTATTATCTGCATAATGCAGGACTGTTGATGACTCTATCTCCAGTCTTGATGACACATTTGTCCTCATAGGGTCCAACCTCCCGAATAATCTGTTCTGCATATAGATTGAAAAGGTATGGAGATAGGACACATCCTTGGTGTATACCCTTCCAACTTTTGAACCACAAAGTGTTTCTTTGCTCTGTTCTGTAAACTGCTTCCTGGTCCAAGTATAGGGGGTTTTTTTGTTTTGTTTTTTTTTTTTTTTATCAAATACTCACTTATTTTTTTTTTTTGCATAAGCACAATCAAATGTTCTGAGATTCCCATTTTTCTCACAGTTAGCCACAGTTTGTTGTGATCTGCACAGTCAAACGCCTTTGCATAGTCAATGAAACACAGATAGACATAGGATATACCTATGCCAATTCTGCCTTCAGTATAGTCTGACATGGCAGAACCAAGGAATGGAGGACAGAAAGGGCACGGACACAGACCAAGGACTAATCAGGACTGGTTTCCTAGGTGTTGGATGTGAAGATTCAGGAATTAAAAGGTGACTTGTGCTTTCAAGATGCAAGAGGGGAATGCTGTTCTCAGTCTTGCACAGGCATAAGCCCAGTCAATAGGTAGCCCCAATTCTTTGCTCACATAAGCAAGTCCCTATCAAGTACAGACCATTAATGTGTTTGGCTGCTAACTGAAAGATTGGGGAATTGGGTCCATCTAGTGGCACCATGGAAGAAATGCCTGATGCTCGACTTCTAAAATATCACCCTTTCGATGGGTGAAAAGACAATCTACTGACTGGGAATAAACATTTGTCAATACTATCTCAAACAAGGGTCCCATGCCAGAAGTTTACAAAATACTCCTGGGCCTCCAGAAGAAAATGACTAATAATCCATTTACAAAATAGGCTAAAGACATGGAAAGACTTTTTTACAGAGGACATTGGGATAACCAACAGTTGCATGAAGAAATGCTACAAATCACTGGCAATAAGAGAGAAGCAAATCAAAACCACAATGAGACACCATCTTACCTAAGCAGCAGTGGTAAAATTTAGCAGGATGTTGGAGAGGTTGTGGTGAGATAGGAACTCAATGGTTGATGGGATTATAAAATGGTAAAACCACTCTGCATGGCATTTTGGCATTTCCCCCAAAAGCTAAACATAGAAATTCCCTATGACCCAGCTATTCCACTACTTGGAATATACCCTAAGAAAATAAGAACTGAGGCACAAAGACTTGTACACAAATGTTCATAGCAGCATTATTCACCATAGCAAAAAACATGAAAATAGCCCAAATGCCCAGCAACAATGGGGATTTATTTATTTATTGGGAAATTATGGTACATTCGGACAGGAAGCAGGCCAGTGCTTCGGGAAGTAGGATGGTGATGCCTGTGTTGCTCCCACAGTTATGTGGGGACAAAACTGCTATCTACCTTGACCACATGAGACCTCTTAACTCAAGCAACAGGGAGATCCTGGGCACCTCGAGGGAGGCGAGAAGCCTCTTCCAGAAGGGAATAACAGGCTTCCTCCTTGGTCATTCAGGTACTTAAGGGGAAAAAAACTGCTGTTAGGTCCTCAGCCCTTTGGGCCCTAGGCCAAAAAGGGAGCACAACTCTATAGGCGCTTCACAAAACATTGCTGTACCCTGGGTAATTTTATAGTTACTAAGAAAAGACTCCCATAATGTCAAGAAAGCATCAATCCACATCAGGTATTTTGAAGAAACAAAATAACCCTTGTCCTAAAAAAGCAGACCCAATGAGTAACCCAGATAGACTCAGAAGAAATATGTTCATATAGAGTTGCTTGATCAGCTACAGAAAAGGGTGCCAATGTGGCAAGAAACAATGGAAGTCAATAAGAGAGAAAATACTTCAGAGACAACAATCCAGAAGAAATAGGCCTTTGACTGTGTGGATCATAACAAACTGTGGCTGACTCTGAGAAGAATGGGTATCCCAAAACATTTAATCGTGCTAATGCGAAACCTATACTTGGACCAAGAGGCAGTCGTCAGAACACAGCAGGGCAACACTGCATGGTTCAAAATTGGGAAGGGTGTACACCAGGGATGTGTCCTATCTCCATACCTTTTCAACCTGTTTGCAGAGCAGATTATCTGAGAGGCTGGTCTCTATGAGGAGAAGCGTGACATTAGGATTAGTGGAAGATCTAACAACAATCTGCGTTATGCATATGACACAACCCTGCTCACTGAAACTGAGGAGGACCTCATGCACTTACTGCAGAGGGTCAAGGACTGCAGCCTTCAGTATGGACTGAGGCTCAATGTCAAGAAGACAAAGATTCTCACCACTGGACCAATCGGTAGCATCAGGATGGATGGCGAAGACATTGAGATTGCTTACAGCTTCAGTTTGCTCGCTCGGCTCCACAGTCAACACTCTTGGCAACAGAAGCCAGGAAATAAAAAAATGTATTGTGATGGGAAAGTCTGCTGTTAGGGACCTCTCTAAAGTACTCAGGAGCAACAGTGTCTCTCTGGAGACTAAGGTGCGCCTGCTACAGGCCATGGTCTTTGCAATCACTTGTTATGCATCAGAGAGTTGGACA